GTGTCGCTTAAGTTTCGTCGGAACGAAGTTACGGAAAATTAATTAACACACGGAGACGTAACACAGGGTTATTTTAACATTACATATATGGAGATATGTAACTGAAGGCATTATTTCTGTGAATGATGTATAAGTGCTTTATTTAGGTAAATTTAATGTGAATTATTCACTATAATATCGTAATCGCTGGAAAAAAGCACATTTTTAATAGCCTTCAATCTCGTTTGGTTACAGAGCAATTACATATAAAATCAGAACCTTCCTGCCATGCCCACCTGTCACATCCTCTCCTTCAGGATTTGTCAATACATGTAGTTCTCTCTTACGTTTACGACTATATTAGTTGTAACCAATAGACAGGCAAGGTTTTCGTCTATCAAATGACGTATTACGTTGTTTTCTGTACAGAGATTTTGTAGATCGCTTCCTAAGAAAATGTTTTTGTTTTTTTTCCCACAGGAACTATATTGTGTAGATGGATGACGTTTTAATGGTCCGTATTGCGTAGCTAGAAATTTGTGATAGTTACAGGAGATTGTCTGCTTTTTGCATGTTATTATGCTGTGTTCTTTTGTTACATTTTTTATTGAATAAAAATTATTTAGTGCACTACTATCCTTAGTATAAAAAAGTAGTGTTCAGAGAGTTATGGATTTTCATAATTTTTTCTCTCTCTTGAAAAAACAAATCTCTCAAGGAGACAAGAGCCATGTAACGAATCAGCTTAAGGGTTTCAGTTTTTATAGTTAAATACACAGTAATTTTTATTCCGATCATAATTATATTTTTTTATAGGTAACTACTATCTGTACATTTCCTTCATATTTCAAAATATATGGCCCTCCGTCCATCGGCGAGCCAGTGGTAAGTTTAAGGACTTTAAACACAAATCCGGGATTCGTTTCTCCGAGGTGGACACAGCTGATAACCCAATGTAGTTTTGCTCAAAAATGAACAAACAAACAATGGCTCAGCGATAAGTCTTAAAGGCTTATAATGCTACAAATTGGGTTTCGACACCCATAGAGGGCACAGCACAGAAAGCCAATTTTGCAGCTTGTGCTTAAGAACAAAGAAACAAATACAAAACCAAAATATTCGAAGGAAGATTTCTGTCCTATAATGTGTGGCCCGACCTTCCTCAACAAACAAGTGTTATGAAATAATGTTAAAATAAAAAAAAAATAT